CTTATTTTTAATTTGTGGCAGATATGGCATCAGCATGTGTCTCAATTTGTTACTTTGGTGAATTTCAAATGAATGAAAATGCTCAGTGGGAATGAAAATGGACGAGTGAAGGAGATGGGGTTAAAGCAATTTTTATAACAAGGAGTACATCGTTCGCAGAAATGTACAGTGATATACAAAACATGCTTAACGTCGATCCCTCTCAGTACGATATGGAATTGGGATTTTTGTTTCATAAGCATTCAACCATTTCAATTCCACCTATGAAAGTTACTTCTGAAGTGGAAATGAAACATCTAATTAAATTGAATCAAGGCCGGAAGTCGACTCCTATTTGCGTAACTTTATTGGGGAAGATGTCCACGAGGGGGAACACGAAGTTTCAAATGAAGAGAATCGTAATATAAATCATGTTTGGGATACAATTCAGATTGTTCGTGAAGATGATGTGGTTATTCCCGAGACCACTGCTACTCACCATGGTCACACTGTTACGCACAGAATTCCATCGATAGTTGAAGACAACGAGAATGAAAATGCATTTACAAACGAGGATTTGATTGCTTTATCTCGTAGGAGACATAAGTCGGGTGGGAGCTCGCAGGCCGGACCGAGTACACAGTCCTCTAATTGTTCGCGTGTAGTTCCCGATGATGAAGATGTATATGTCGAGCAACTATTCGAATCAAAGAAAGAATTGCAAGAAGCTGTGCACCGGATTGCTTTAAAACATAACTTCGAGTTTAAAGTGAAGAAATCAAACAAGTCGTTATACACAATTATCTGCGTTGACGACAGTTACCATTGGCGTTTGCGAGCGACTAAGATGGACACGAATGAGTTCTTTGTAGTTCGTAAGTATGCACGGGAAGATACTTGCGAAGTGGGTATTCGTCGAAATGATCATAGGCAGGCCCGGTCATGGTTTATTGGTCGAGAAATAATGCACAAGTTCCAGGATCCACGAACGATCTACAGACCTTCGGACATCATTAATGATGTTCGACGAGAGTACAGGGTGGTCATGAGCTATCAGAAGG